AAATAATAGTTACTATGCTGAATTAAAACCAGAATTTGTTTTCTTTTTGTCATTCAAATCATCTGTAACTATAAATTTATTTTCCAAGTTTCATATTTATGTTTTCTTTCTAAAAAAAATAAAAAAAATTTTAAAAATCAAAAACAATTCCTATCCCTTTTTAACAAACATATATTGACTAAAAAGAAATTGAGATTTCTTTAACTTTAATACACATGGATACCAGTTCTAAGAATATTGATCAATGTTTCATATAGTTTTGTTCTATTATCCTAGAGTTGAATATTCACAATCTGGTTTAATGTGTTTAATTACCCCATGGATACTACACATTAATATACAAATAAAACTATGATAAATTTTTATTTAATTTTCATCATATAAAAATCAATTATTATGTAAACTGTTGTTATTCATTTGAATATTTTAATATCTCTAATTGTGTTTTGATAATAAACCAGTTAGTTATAAGATTTAAACATTGAATGAAAATTCAGATTTCAATTAAATAAAAGTTCCAATTTTCTTTCTGGTAACTTTTACTATTTTCTTTCTAATTTATATATTTATTGTATCCAATTTAAAAAAAAGGACATACATTATGTTTTAAATGAAACATTAAAGGTTACTAGGTTATCATTAGATTCCTGTTCTTCTTTCTTTCTTTTTTTTGTACTACTAATATCTATTCATATGACGGACATTGTTAACTGACATCTTAAAGTGAATAACGTCTGTTGTAATATCTTGTATAAATGAGTACACATTCAATAAGAAGTTATGTGTTTTTCTAGTGTGTCTATTTTATCTTGTTTTATTTGTTATTTGAACGATATCTAAATATTATTTTATTATAAATGTAAAATAATGAATAGATAGCTATTTCTATATATTTTTAGGTAGTTAATTACTAATTTATAGACTGAACAATTCGATTTTCACATACAAGAATTAGCCTTCAAACTGTATACATGGTTTTCAAACATTCATTTCCGAAATTAAACAGAATAGTTAGGTTCTATTCCGTTGGAGAATTTGTTATTTTTAGAGGTTTTAAACGAAAAACTCGACCTCGCTTGTCTCATAAAATAAATACACATAAATGATTTTTTTATATCCCTGGAGATTCTTTAAAGCAACTTGTTTTTTTTTCAAGTAAAAGTATAGGATTGATTTTAGAAGGAAATTTGTTTTTCTATACGATTGTTTTCAACAAATGTTCAACTGAATGTCACTGTATTAGCCTCGGCGAATCAGGGTATATGATGTTATTTATTTGTAGAGTCAGTATATACTACTATTTCTTCAGAGTAGTGTTTTACAGAAAGAATTATCTCTAATCTCAGACTGTGGGTATTCTGGCAGCTAATTTAAGTGGATAAATAATAATCGCAACTGAAAAATATATTGGATATTAGGAATAACGGTAGATTACATATATTTGTCTAAAATTTCGCGTTTGGAAATATCAAATCCAAAAATACTTCCCAAAAAAGAGATAAATTAATAATCACTCATAAAAGGGATTACAGTAGCAGTAAAGAGATTTTAGAACTAAATCAACCGACCATTATCTACTATCTTATTGATAATTATCTAATAATAGGCTTGGTCGTAGACTAATATTCTAGTTATGACTCATTGGGAAGGGTGCGGCAAAATTAAATGGGGAGAAAGCTGCAGGCTTCAGTTTAATAATTGCAAGTTCACCTACAGATTATCATTTACAGTAATTATTTAAACAGCCCAAAGTGTTTTTCAGAATTTGGAGATACAATGTCATAACAAATCAGGTTGTGCTGGGTTCTGTGTGATCAGGCCGTCATGACAAGATAATAATTGCGTGGTCTAAGGATGTCACAGCTATTCAAAGCTTGACAACGCTGTTGTCTGTAACACCTTTGTAATCGAAGATCTCAAATCCACTTAAACCAGAAACAGGGAATGAGGGAGTTTGAAAATATATTTGGAAGATAGTTTGTTCATAGAGAAGTGTGTGATCTAAACTGTTTAGTTGTTGAGAGGGATGCGTTGCACGGTACACCCACTCTTGATCTTTTGCAGATGCTTGACCTAGCGTCTCCAGCTAGGATGTGTTCAGTATAACTAATTAGGTCAGTATCTACCTGTAAGACTTACAGACCCATTTATTTAAAGAATTTGTTTGGTACTACAATCCTCGTCCTCTAATCCTTTATCGATCAGTTCACCTCTGATATCAGTTCGACAGGTACAAGCAGGACCTGAGTACCAACTGACATATCAATAAATGGACGTTAACCAGGACCTTAAGGGATATTGGTCATTGAACTCCTTCTGACCCAGGAGGCAGTCGGAAGACGATGATGAAAAGTGGTCCAATTTTGTGTTGTACTTAATTCAGTTGTAACTCCGAACTCATATGCTAATATACCTGAAGTGTCTGACCACACAGCAACAAAACTATAAAATTATAATACATGTATGACTTAGTGACATGATACAATAGTAATAGGTAAATAATTAATAAATGGTAAGTTTAAAGTGATAAGACATGTGATTACGATTTACAGATTAAACAAAAGATTTGAAATAGTATGCTATAAAAATACAACAGCCTAAGAGCTCGCTAACTTTATGATAAAAATGTAAATAATAATCTTTCTCACAATAGTTTAGAAAGTCATAATTCCGCATTATTCGTCCCATTAAAAGTATGAAGGTAGATTCATTTGACCAGCCTCCATGACCATTAACTGTTCATCTTGGCTGAAGCAATCTCCAAGATTCAGTTTTCACGATCCGCTGACGCTTAATGGTAGCTCGAAAACAAGATTCTTATTTTAGTCAGGGAAAAGGTTAACCTTCTGAATCTGTAGGGCCAGTAAATTGTTACTGAGCCCTAGCAAAATCTTCCGGGAGTTGGGTCACTGAATATCGAACGCGCATGGTATGCCATGGACTGGCACATGCGGTGGTGATCTCGCTATCGTCTCTGTACTCATTCTTACTAATATATTTCCATAACAATGTCCTTTGTGTTATACGGTCTTTAGAGCAACAATAGTACTTTGATACGTTGAAGGGGTGATCTACGTTAGATGTTGACCACGAGATATGACTTCGAAGTTAGCTGGTTCATCACACTACTTCTATGTAACTCCAGCAGGCCTCTAATAATTCGACATAGATCATAAACGTTGATGATCAACAAAACTAAATACTATGGTTGCTATGACAAACTAGTTTTTGTTAGCGAGTTCAAATTTGCCATATTTTGTTAATTAACTAGACGTTTGTGTGACCGTCTACAAGACCTTGTACCGAAGTCCCACCACCGTCTATTTTACTCATCTTAAGAACAAACCCAGTTTCACTGGTAAAACATATTTGGTAAAAAGATTAAAGAAATACATAGTTTTCATACATATTGAAATGAACGTTCACGAAGGTCGTTGGGTGTGTCGTAGCAGTGTTCAAAACAGTTTTATATAGTAGTGGGTGGAATAAGAGATTTTTAAACAAGCCCCTTTATGTTAACGAGACAGTAAGTCACCCATATATGCATATTATTTTTACTAAATCTCTTACTTATGGTACATTAAGCGTTCTTTGTCTGGTTTCCGTATACCACGTCTACACCGAGTTGCAACTAGTCACACATATCTCACGAATCTCCTTTAATTATTTGAACTTTGCAGTAACCTCTATGGACTAATCACAATGGCTACGTGAATTCATTTACAACACCAATACTTCTCCAATTTAAGTACTCATATTTTAACTCTGAGAACTCTTTGTTTGTATGTGTGTCTATATCTATAGGCTGATTTGTCACTTATTTATTTGCCTCTATATGATATATCGTTCATCTGATATGAAAAGTGATCGACTCTAAACCAAGTGTCCGTTAGCTGGCAATGGATGGTTTGTACACTACTTTCTCCTGTTTATTTTTACGGTCTTTCTGAATGCGCTATGATCCTACCTAACTTCTCTTGTCTCTATGAGCATCGAACTTGTTGCCAGTTATAGTTGCAGTCTCTTGACAATTCCAAGTGACTTCCTGTCGTCACTCTATGTACAAGTATCCATAAGTTATGTAAATGTAGAGGCTTCTGCTGTAAACACTCGTTGGTTGCTCTGATGGCCAATATTCATGATACAAAACACAGCCTACACACTTTTATCATCTTTCATGATAAGAGGAGAACGGACGACTACACAGGATATAAATTTCTTAATGACATTTATTAATCTCAGTCACTTGCATATAACAAAAATTGTCTCTCGTAGTTAAAAGTCACATCATAGTCTTGAAATCAGTAAAAGAAACCAGTAACCTTAACACTTATATTTCCTGTTTCTCCCTTTCCACCGCTCTTGAACGATCTACAACATATGTGTGTATTGAAGACAAACAGAATGTAGTGTTTGTATGCTCTAATGATCCCCTTGTACTTAATCACCCGCTTGGTATCGAATTCTAAATACAACACGTATGCTCACCTAGTTCTGTCTGGCTTAAATTGTATTATTTCTTGGATTCCTAGTTCGCATAATTATTCGAATACTCCTAACCATCACCATACAGACACAGCTACAACGAATACATAGGCCCAAAGAAAACAAATTTTGGTACGCATAAAAAAGAACAACTGTAAAGTGTAATCGAAGGGCAACAATGACTATGCTTCATTTACTTCTCACTCATGAAATTATGTATTTTTTATAAACGATATTAATTTTCATTGACTCATCTTTTATATTCCCAACTACTATTAGGTATCTATCAATTTCGTTGCTATATTGATTTTCATTTTTGTACTAACGATGTTAATTTGTGTTTTTGGAAACATACCGTTTTCAAAACCAAAAGGCCTGTTTTTGCTAACTTTGGCCAAGCTAAGACGTTGAGTTTGACACCACTGGGTAATAGTTTAGAAATTAGTTTGTCATTGATAATCACCGCAGTCCTCATAAATGAATTACAGGTATTTTGGTGCTATTTAATTTGTGAAATGCAGATATTACATAGCCGATCAACACTAAAATCCATGAGAATGAGCAACAGGGAAAATTTAAGTTTACTATTCGGTAGTGAAAACCTAAAGAATGAAACAACTTTCACAGCCTTAATGAATGAAATTTCAGTGTCCGTATCTTCTTGTTTTACTAATGAACACATTAAGTACCAGGTAGTTCCGATGCTCACTACTTCAAATCGATAATATACGCACACACCAACTTGGAATGATTTTAACTGCCTATCTCATAACAAACCGAATTTCTTACCCACTCTCTTTTCCCAAGCAAGCACAGTGAAGGCAAAGATCAAAAGCCATACAAAATGAATAGCCATTCCAAACACATATTTGCTTGTCGGGAACTCTCTAGTGAAATTGTGGTGTTTGGATGAACTAATGATAATTTTGTACTTGATGACTGCCAGATTTCGAATTCCAAACACTATATTCGTTAATAAAAGGGATCATTTCCTTACATTCATCGGAAAATAAAATTGCAGCTTATTAAAAAATTTCTCACTTCCAGAAAAGCATATTTCACTTCCTTAGGCAACTCTCTATGAGTTACTACTAGACCATGTAAAGTGTACAAATTTTAAATGCAGTAAAAGAGAAAAATTCATGAAATGATTTTTTCAGGACATCAAGAATCCCACTATATTACGACGCCATCTCAATCCAATGCATGCTCAAGGTTATGCAGATAACAATCCATTGAGGAGTTGAGATACAAGTCACGAAGATGAGAACAAGTTCAGTAAATGCATGTCTTTTGTCAGGTTTGCTCATGTAATTCGTGCGTATTTCGTAGTGCCAAATGTTTTAAATATGGTAAAGTTGGATACATTCAGTCAGTTTGTAATACCACTGTACGTTTCACTGCAAGTAAAGCAAAACTTTGTAATTCTGATCCTATTAAGTTGAGTGTTTCTAGTGATCATTTATCCTTATCCATGATTTCGAAAAGCAGTATAGAGTCACATGGCACTTCAGAATCAAATGGAAGTCAGAATCATTGTGTGATAAAAGTTTCTGGCCAATCAACTTTTTATCGGATTTTTCATGTCATAGTACTAAATATGGTTTCTTCTAATAATTCACATATTTCCGATGAAATTTCTTATAAGTATGAAGTAAATATGTTGAATGAATGAAATTATGATCTAAGATCGTATACAGTTTTGTTAGATAGTATTATATTTCAGTTCACACAACCGACATATTGATCAAATACAATACCAGGAACTGGGTGAGTCTGTTCCTATTTCGGTTGTTAATGCTAGTAGTAATGAGTACATGCTAGATAATACAGAGTTATTGTGACATGTATATTCAATGATTTTCGTAACAATGAAATAAAGACCACATTTTTCCGTCGTTGTCACACTTTATATGTAACCACACTTATACTCAATATCTATTGTTTCTCTGTAACAATGGTAAAAGAAACAGGTATATTTGTCTGATTGTATCCACACACTACCGCAATCATTGAGAAGTATAAGCTATCTACGCCGTCTATCCTGCTTTGTCGACCACGGCCTGTTGATTGAAGGTTATAATAGTGTTACAACATACTTTCGGGCCTTCCCACACTTCGCTGGAGATTTGACCCGGATTATAATTAAATAGTACTATCGGATTTAATCTTTCTCATTACGCCGTTGGTGTCACCATGTGCAGAGGAACCTCTGTTAATCAAGCGAACTCATTTGTGGTTATCTTAGAGAGCAGCATGCAAGTAATATTCACTTCATAACAAGTGTTACCATTTTGTTATTTGATAAACCATTTATATTGTAACTATAATTAGTTACGTTTTGCTTTACTCATAAACAGACACTTAGGTTTGTAGAGTGAATTCTTTTAGTATATCGTCGATGACTTTACGTATTGTTATATATTGAATAAACTCTTTTGCTGGGATCCAGCACAAAGTCTACATCCAGTGCACAGTCAGACATATAGGCAATTGTGGCGGATGTGGTGTTTTTATGAACCAATGATTCTGTTGTATTTGATGACTGCCTGACTTCGAATACTAAATACAATACGTTCGTTCGTGCTTACCTAGTTCATATTGGTCTAAATTGCGTTATTTCTGGGATTATTAGTGTAAGATCCATTTTGAATGCTTTGTGTGTTTGTGAAAATCCCTCCATGTATATACTTGCACTTTGTTCCTATTGATCCTCTTAGTTGTACATTGTTAACTTTTTGGCTACATTTGAATTGTTAATATTTGTATTTTATTATAGTTTTCGTTTTTACTACACCCTCACTAATTCCCCATGTTTCTTCCCGAACTGCACTTATGTTGTTTTACTTTATACTAAGTCTGGACGGCAGCCATTTTGGTTTATCCTTGCTTTTGATTGTTTGACCTGTGTTGACTGGAATTGTGCATTTTGGTTGTGAATTGAAACACTCTTCCAGAATTGAAAACACTCTGTGTTATTGAGCGACCAATTATTACCTTTTGAACGAATCTGTACGTGATCTATCCAGACAGGATAGAGTAACAGTTATTTGTGGTGATTGGTAATTTTCTTGCATCCTTTATCAACTTTCTTATTTATTGTAGTTTAGATTCGATCAATTGAACAATTATTGGTTGGATAGCTGAGTGGTTATATTTGTTTAGGTAATAATGTACACTTAAATTTATGATGAATTATAGAACCGTCATCTTACCCAATTACTTTGTTTTGGTTTCAATCGGGCGAGGGCGCGTATCTAACTCATCCAGACAGCTGTCCTTCACTCCAAACCGTAGTTTGGATCTTACAATTAGTTCGTATAATCATAAAAATCTAAACCAGAATAAAATAAAGGCCTCTACAATATTTGAATAACAAAATTATTAATTACTATCTGTAGTGAGATCATTATTTACTCAGTAACGAATTACATAATGAAACTAACCCAACAATAGAAAGTAAGCGCTAATTAAATTACCAAGACTAACATCTAAAGATTCAGAGAAGTATAAAATCTAGCCGAACAAAGGCTTGTAGCGTGGCGTCGAGTTGAGATTAACTGTGAACACCGCTACCAAGAAACACGTGCCAAATACATCAGAAGGCGAGGGTTGGACGTAACCAAATAGATCCATAAAATCCCCGAGAAGCCGAATACCAGAAGGCAATTAATGAACCAAGTCGATGTTTATTTGCTGGCGATCTCGTGGCACCGAAAGGATACCGAGATCGTGCCAGGATACAAGCTTGGTTACAGAACGTAACCGAATTCGCGCGAAGTTACAATCAAAGTGTAAGTATAAGAATGGAAGCACAAAATAGCTGTCATTAGCACAGTCAAACAAAAGCACACTAAAACAGTCACTGGTACAGTTGGTTATAATAATAAGCGTTTTTATTAAACCAGTCGTGTTCTCGTGATAAATGTGAGTCACTACAGCTCACCACGGGGATTTTCTGATAGTATGTAGTGGCATTGGACAATAGCCACACAATCCACAAAGCTGTGAACACGAGACTACTCAGAAAATAAATATTCAATATTTAACGCCGAGAAATACCTAAAAATGGAGAAGGCGCGAACAATGAATTGAATGGACTGGAGTTGATCGAGTGGCATGGCTCGGCCATGCAGGCGTGGTCTCTATTCATATTAAATATATTGTTCTTTCTCTAACCTAACCCTTATGGTAATTGATACGATACAGTGAGTTGGCGTAGTCGATGGTGTGACTTCCACGTAAGATCTTATAGATTAGGCAGTTATATCATGACGAATCTACAAATTTAGGATTAGGTCTATTATTAGAGCAGTACTAATATCATAGTAGACCATAGTTCTACATTGGTGAGCCCAACTAAAGATTTTATTTTTGTAAACCCAGTATTCTAATAGTCCTTTGATTAATGGTCACATATATTATCGTAATGTTATATCTATTAGTTCACATAACTTACTAGCTCAATCGATTATAAAAGTTGATCATCTATTTCAACTAATTAGCTTTGATGGTTCGTTAACAAGCTTTAATAGCATTTACATGCTTCAGCGACATAGACTTGTTTAAACATCAAGCTCTAGCAAATATGACCTGTAAATAGAGTAAATATACACTGACTAACAATGCAATCAAGGACTAAATAGTTATCTGGATCTAATTCTCAGTGTTCCTTCACTTAACACCTCATCTTGTTTTAAACTACGCATTATCCTGTAATATCTTTTCTTCTGACCACTGCCTGCCTAATTTCATATTCTCGAGTTCCATTGCCAAACAACAAGGATGACTTCTCCAAAAACACGGTGAGTTCCAGCTATAAGTTTTCTGCAAACATAAGTTCATTTTAGATGGCTCATTCAATGGCGCACACAGTTATCTGGATTCATTCGGTTGTTCTGATCCGAGCGAGTGGCAAAAACGTCAACAGCATCAAGCACCATGGAATTAATTGCCATACTGCATGTTTTATTCTGGATACTTTTGGATCATTACTACTCCTCACGAATGGCGTTATTGTCGTCCACTGAATAATCTAATTTTCAAAAATAACCCAGGCGAGTTCAACTATTTTACTGGATGATTTTTTTTGTACTTAAGATGTATATGTTTTTCAGTTGCTTTTGCCATATATTTGTAAGTGTCACTAAGCTAAATGCAGTAACTTCTTATGGAAGGTTTATAACGCATCATATTCCTGCCTGAAGTTTCACAAGCAGTCTTAACTCTAAAATTGTTTATCTGGTCATGTTCATTATTTTTAAATTGTCATATACGTCAACAACCTGTTTGTTAACCTGGCCCACACATACGTTACACTATATCTTCATGTCTTCTAAATTTAGGAATCATCTGAGTCGCCTTTAACATTTATCAATAAACCCATCATAGTCGTTGTTGCTAATCGTATTTGGGTTTATGGATTGGTTTATCATATTAGCAGCCTAAAATGCGAACATAGTTTAGATAATAAGATTAAAAATTTAGGTACTATCAACTGCACTAGTAAAATAACTGAATCCTAGCAACAATACCTATTTTTCCACTGACTAATCCTCAATCAACACTATAACTAGTTAAACATAATAGTTTCAGGATATCGTCATAAAGCATTGTCATAACTTGACAATCACGTAATATGATTGATAAAATTAATGAAACCATTAACGAAATCGGTCAACAAATTGACTTA